CATCACCAGTCATTGTCTTGTGTTCCCCTGTCACCTTGTTGTAGATAAACAAAGTTTGTCCTGACTTACACTTGTATTCTATCCAGTTTGTATCCATCTTGCTTCGAAGGAGTGCGAGGCTAACTCTTGATTAAATTTATAATCAACAACGGAATTCAGTACAACTACACACGACTAAGCACAAAAGAAACAGATTGCCCTTGTCTTATCGTTAGGAATACAACAATTTAGTTAGAGTATGAAATCGTCCCTCCAAATGAAAACAATGGACGAAGTTGGTTTCTGCCAGGCGTTACTGGTTAGGTCCATCCACAGGGAGCCCAAGCAATTACTTTGAACCTATAATAGTTAAAAATAAAATGTTACTTAAAAAAATAGTCTACCTTTAATTTATTCATTGTCACAATGGATTATAAATATATATTACTTACTTATCCCCATTTTCCCTAGTGGGAAATAGGGCCGCGACACGGTGACGCCACTCTTCTTGGCGGTCCTTTGCAAGACCTTGCAACTTTCACCAAAGCCTCGCCCCAAGTCAGTCCCATCTCCAGCAACTCAGCCTGGACGGTTCTTCGCCAAGTTGTTTTAGGCCGTCCAGACTTACGCTTCCCTATAAATATATAGAGGGAGGGGAAATTATAACCAAGCACTCAAACTCATGGAGCAGTTAGAAAATCATTGTACACATCATTTTTGTAGATAAAGTTGTCGTTTACTGTCATCTTTGGAGAAATAGGAGCAAAATTTTTCTCGTGACCGGTGTTTCATACCTTGTCACAGACTACTAGTATAAAGCTGCGAGAAACGGCACCGTGACGCAATAACACAGGTAATCCGCATTTTGCTAAGATCGCGCTCACATAAAATAACAGTCGGCGCATTCGTTTTATCTCTCTCAAGCAATGGTTGGGCGGCCTATGGCCCAATAACTAATTCAACTAGTTCTAAGATTTTCTGTTCCGATCAATCTTGAGTATGGTTGTCCAAGGTGAGTATTGACGCTTTTTAGAAAATACTCGTACTCACCTTTCTACTCGCAAACTTGTATAACGCGCACTTTCTTTGGCTGATAATCGTGTTTATATAAGAGTTTAAAGAGAACAGAAAACTTAATAAAAAAAATGAATATAAAAACAACTGCTTGTGTCTCGTTTATCTCTGTTCGATGGAGACAACAGGCGCGCAATTTGATGGAAACTAACCTTGGGCTTCCTGTTTCAGTTTCTTCAGGCCAAGCAGCCAAGCCTCAAAGACTCTAGAATCAAAATGGCGGCTCGATTTGGTTTACACCGATTCAATACATTCAGCGTAAATCCCTTGTTTTTGAGACGAGTTCTGCTGAATGAAAGACTTGCTGCAGGATCCTTTGTAAGTATTTTATCTGTGAAATTCTCATCGTGCCTGTAAGATAAAGATAAAACGTGTTTTTGATAAACATTTTGTGGTAAGATTTTGCGATCGAATTCGAAGCTAAGATCATAGCTAAATCCCTTCGGTTAACTATGCTTAAATAAAGCTTATGCTTGTATAAGAAAATGATATGATAGATTAAGAATGTATATTTTTATCTTTGCTTTAGTGAAAATAATAGAAATAGTACTTTTAACCAAGGGATAAGACGATATTGTTGGTGAATCGAGTAAAAACCTGCACATGTTTTCATAAACAAGAGTTAAAATTAGTCTATATTCTATAAGTTTGGACATGCATTTTACTATGTGCATTTTTCTCATGGTTTTTATATCTACTGAGAATATTTTTCTCATTTAAGGTACTAGATACGGATAAAGTGGGGTCCAATTTAAACGAAATAGCTCAAACTGTACAAGACTTAAGTTGNTTGCTCGTTGTAAACATGTGCAAAGTTATTTGAAATATTCTTTCTCACACCTTTGACGGAAATTAAGCTTCGCGTTCTCGCGTGGACCATTCAAGTGCGCATGATCAGTTTGATCAAATAACAATAAACGGTCTCGTATGACTTCAAAATGGCTTCCTTAGATACATCTTTTCACTTGATTTTCTAGACGAAAACGATATAACACTGAAGCGAAATGTCGGCAGTGTGTTCACTATAGTATAAATATACTATTAAGCGATAAAAATGAGGTCAAACTTTTTGAGTCGACATCCGTATCTAGTACCTTAAAAGACATAACATTAATAATTAACGTACAATTTAGTCTTGTACGCGTATATAATTATAATACTTTTAAAATTGTGATTAGCTAGACCTTATGTACAATTTTGCATGTTTATCTAATTTGCAAAAACGTAGGCCAAAAAAAACACACACGAGTGCTTGATTAGAAATTAATCTAGGAATTAATTAATCAAAGAAAGTGTTAGTCTGGACTGGTCATCTTTTGTATAAGGGACTTGAAACGTGTTGGAATACTCAAATCTAATTTGCATCTCATTTCTTTATTTGGAACAATTAAATTTATCCTATAGGCAACCAGTATTTCGTCATAACGTACTTGAAAGTGAAGAGAGACTTGGTCTATTGTTGAATTTAATATACATGTACAACTTGCGTTGCTGAAAATATTAATATTTTTTAATAAAATTAATAATTTTAACAATATTAATAATTCCTTTATTAGGTTCGTCACCAGTCCTCCTACCAAGATGTTCAGGTAATTTTAATAGAGCTGAATTTAATGATTTTGTTTTAAAATAATTTTTTTCTTTTTSACTTCTGCTTCTGCTACTCCTGAGTTTATAGTAGATTATTATAAAACATTGACCACTTAAAAGCCGATTTAGACGACACAACTTTTGCTTACAATCATTGCATGCAACCTGCGTAAGTCATCCTTACGACATGGCTACAAATGTTGTAGGGATTTTAAACAATGACTTCCGCAGGTCGCATGCGATAGTTGCAGGAAAAAGTTGTGTCGTCTAAATCGGCCTATACAAATACTCCCCTATTCACTATACAGGTATAATGTATGTGCCTCCAACCAGGGTATCGTTTTCAACGATTCTACTCTGGAACAGCGTATCATTTTTAGCAATTTTACTCTGGAAAAGGGTATCGATTTCAACAATTTTTCCCTGGCATAGGGTCAGGGTTTAATTCCAGAATTATTGATGCTGGGTAAAAATTCACGGGGTAAAAATTCAGGCTACCCCCAGGCTAGTGTTGGATTTTACTCTGGAACAGGGTATAGTGTTCAGCGATTTCACCCTGGAACAGGTTCAGGGTTTTGAGGTTACTAGTATTTTATTTGTCAAAACTGCTTTATTAGAATGATAATGTGCATCTAGGATAATTAATTTTTTTGTGTGTGTCTTTGGGGGTGATATTTCAAGAGATTTCTAATCGGTTATTTTAAAAATTTTAAATGATTAACATATGAATTTCGTAAAAAACTCTGCAGGTCTTCCACAGTTTTAATTTGTCAACTTGTGAATGAAATTCGTAATTCTAGTGGCCAATGTTTTAATAAGTAATTAATAATTAATATAAAATATGAGCAGAAGACCTTTATGGGCATTTAAAACTGCGAGCTGCGAGCGAGCAGTTTTATAGCCCATAAAGGTCGGCGCAAATATTTTATATTGTTTATCAAATTCCAACACAAGGTAAAGCATATTTCGAGAAAAAGGATAAAATATCATTAGAGAAGTTAAGTCGTACAGTATGCAAATCAGGACAAATCTCTTGCTCATATAAAGATGCGGTCACGGCAATGATTTTCCATTGTGTTTACTTTATGAATTATTCATGAATTTAATAACCACAGCAACCATCTTCTTTTTCAGGCGAATCAACTCATTATAGAAAAAAMTTCTAAACCAAAACCCAAACCAGACAACAATACACTTGTCTTTGGCAAGGAGTTTAGTGACCATGCATTGATGATTGAGTGGACGGCGACAGGAGGATGGGCTGCACCTAAAGTAGTACCATATGGCACGATGCAGTTATCTCCAGCAACGTCTGCATTGCAYTATGGTCTTGAGGTGGGTATAGGATAAGGAGACTGGGCACTATAAAAAATGAAGTGCTATTATTTGTAGACATATGAGCAATAGGGATTTGGGTTTCCTGTGTTAATGAGCCAGTAAGGATATCTGTGCCATTACGAACAACTAAACAAGGTAGCGTTAAAGGGACACTGTCAATACATGACATGCGCAGTAACAGTCTCACCTCTAACAGACTTTGAAAGTATTACCTTTGAGGAAAATCATTTTGTGGTGCTTTTGACACACTTTGGAATATTCTAGATCTGTTTACGTTTACGAGCTGATTTATGTTGCGCCAACTTGGAGTCATAAACTTGAAAACWYTAGCCTARTGTTTTCAAGTTTACTCGCGCATGCGTGCCATTGACAGTGTCCCTTTAAACATCATTGTGAATTAGTTCAATTTTCATGCAAATGCTTAAAATGCAAAAATTTACTGTCAGGGAGGTTGACAGTTAGCCTCCTTTAGCAGCCGCCCCTCCCCCGTGGGAGAAGCGTTGCGTGACGACACAGGGGCGGCTGCTAAAGGAGGCTAGTTGACAGTACACTCAGTTAAAATCCTGCACATACA